CATCAATAAAAGCAAGTAATATGATTTGACAAATTATACTTCAGGGACCTGGTCATTGAGGCTGTGATAGCGGGGGTGTGAACAGGGCCGGCTTACAAGGGGGGACAAACAGTGCGACCGCCCCGGGTCCAAACCCGTGTCCCCTCGATTTTACTAATTAAGGGGTCCAATATTTTTTATATATACATATTTTTATATAGAAAATTTTAAATATTTATAAATTTTAGTTGAATAGGGACCCTAAAATATTTTACATATACATAATTTATTTTCATAACAAATTTTTTAAAGATATTGATGTTAAAAATTTAAAAAAATATTTAATTTTTTAATAAATATAAACATTAAAAGTAAAAAAAAAAATTTTGCCCAAGGGCCCAAACAAATGTTGAGCCGACCCTGGGTGTGAAAACTGAGGTGGTTGAAGTCTCTTTTTATCCAGATCATTGAACTTGATTGTTAAGGAGTGTTTAGTTGTAAGTGTAATAGTATGATGTATTTTAATATTTATCCCATTTTGTAACTTTGTTTAAAAAAACTCATGTAACTCTTTTTGTATTAAAAACAAGTTAACGAGTATAGGATAATTTTTCTACCAGCCATATTGAAAGACAATATTAACTAAATGACCGTGAAATAAAATGGGTGATGGATTTTATATGTGACACAAGGTTGGATAAAATTCTCTTTTCTTGCGTGTGTGCTTAAATTTTATGAAATACACAACTTTCATACTATAATGTATATAGTAGTATAGTTCGACCAATTTATATCAATATAATGTATATTATTCATTTTGATTCGTTTGTTTTAATAACTGTGAAAGATAATAAGAAGGGTAAGGTGAAGGAAGAGAATAAAGAGGAAGATATAAAATAGGAGAAAGAAGATAAATTAGGAATAGAAATAGAAATAGAATGAAAAGGAGGAACATAATAAGAAAAAAGGAAATAAAGATGAAGTGAGAAAATAAGTGTGGGGATGCGGAAAGGACAACGCGGGGGGGGGGGGGGGGGGGGGGG